CAGTGGAGGTGTCCATCTTGGATAATATTGTATATCTTTTCACTATGGGGAGAAAGCCCTCCAGTGTTGGAAGGCTATCATTTTCGCTCACAACTGCTTCATTAAATCCCTTAAGACTCACATAGATTTGTATTTTCCCATTTTTCTTTATAGCTGGCAACACTGGGATGCTGCTGGCTCAGAGATTTTCTTGATTATGCCAATTCATTCCATTCTCTCAGTTTACTTTTTATGAAACAATAGGCTAAAATTCTTGTCAGGAATATGGATACTGTATAGTTCATCATTGTCTCTCAAGCTTATTTGCACAGGATCTCCTTTTTAACTTCTAGTTGCAACAAATATTCCAACAAGCTCTTTTACCTTCCTCACCAGGCCCATCCTGGCGAGCATGCAGCAGCTAAGAAGGCTGTTGTTCTGTCGCCTTTTGATCACATACAGATATTTGTAACAATGATCTAATAGTATTTATTTAAATAGTTTGGATGTTTTCTACATATTCATGTTGATTTCCATTAATGCAAAGTGTACAGTTTTTTATTGTTATAAATATTTACACTGTAAAAAACAAAATAAATAATTATTTAATTGTTCTTAAAAACGAAATACATATTTTTTTAATTCTCCTAATGTAAGTAAGTGGGCTTGTAGACGTCAATAATTTATGTTTTGTTTTTGACTGCAGTCATATAACCAATGTACACTTGTAAGGGTGCATCTACACCACACCCCTAAACTCAAAATAAGATACGCAATTTGTGCTATGCAAATTGTGTATCTTATCTCAAATCTATTTCAAAATAGATTAGTTTGAAATTTGGTGCATCTACACAGCACCACATTTTGAAATAACGTGCTATTTCAAGTCATCCCTTATCCCTCATGCAACAAGGTTTACTGGGATGGCGAAATAGCGTACCCGTTATTTCGAAAAATATTTAAAAATAATGAGTGGGTTGTGCAGTCATGGGGTAGATAATTTGGGATATCTTCGGTATTCCGAAATAGGCATGCAGTGTAGACGTACTCTCCATTACACTTTTATGATAAAGAGATCGCACTACAATACTTGCAGGAGATGAATTGAAAAATATTACCTCTTTTGCATACCATTTTTACAGTACAAATATTTGTAATGAAAATAATAGTACGAAGTGAGCACTGTATACTTTGTATTCTGCGTTATAATAAAAATCCCTATATTTTAAAATGTAGAGAAACATCCAAAATATTTAATACCTTTCAATTGATATTCTATTGTTTAATAGTCCAGTTAATCATGATTAATTTGTTTAATCACAATTAATTTTTGAGTTAATCACGTGAACTAAGTGTGATTAATCAACAGCACGAATATCAAATCCTTTACCTGTTTCCTTCCTTTTTTGTATCTTTAATGAAAACGGTAAAGGTTCAAACAGTGTGTTTGCTATGATACAAGGTAGACTTAGGCTTCTGTGCAACAAAGCACAAACTTTGTTTAACTCTGTTTAATGTTGGACAGTGACACAGTTATGTTACCTGATTTCATTTAATTAACACAACACCTCTTAATATAAATCCTGTTAACACCACTTTTAATGGACTATCATTTGTAAAGTGTGAAGATATTTGTGGTTAGTTTAAATAGCCTCATCACTTATAGAGGAGTTTTAATGTAAAGAAAACATTTAAAAAGAAAATCTATAGCTTTGTAACTGTGTGACAGAGAGAAATAGAGACTTTATCCTCTCTCACTCTTATGTGAACAAACATTCTTTGATGACCTCTCCTTGTTTTTAATAAGATAATCAACTTTTGCAACATCATCAGCACAAGAATGTTTTAATCATAGAACTGAAATTAAATAATCTGAAATTTGAAATAAAGCATTTTAAAGCAATTGTTATTCCAGCCTCTTAAAATAAGGTAAGCAAGTTGTTACATTGAATCTATACATTAACCCCAGAGAAGCCAAAACTGGAAGTGGTTAAGTTATTTCATTTCCATAAGTAAGTAACAATCATTCTGCAACCAAGACTCAGGCTGTTTGTTATACCTTAGGTTTGGGAAAGTTTTGCCTCATTGAATTGCCCTGCATGGAAAAATATCCCCAAACAAAAAATGTAAATATAATTCTCATCTTTATCATTTGTAAACGACAAAGTTTTCAATTCCAAAGTATAAAAGTATAAAATTCCCATCATTTACAAAGGTGTTTCACAATAAATAAAATGTTAAAAGAGAAGTATAGGCTTTTCTGATGAACATGAAACACCTGACACTACATTAGAAATCCTACTCAGACAGTTGAGTATTAAAAGCCTTTATAATAAACCCCCAAATCAAGGAGAGAGAATTCCCATGGTAAAGGGGACAAATTCCAGCCTACATGCCCAAGATGTGAAAAAGGTCCTGTCCCAGTACATTATGGCTGCGTCTAGACTGGCATGATTTTGCGCAAATAGTTTTAATGGAAAAGTTTTTCTGTTAAAACTATTTGAGCAAAAGAGCATCTAGGGTGGCACAGATGCTTTTGCGCAAAATCTTGCCAGTCTAGACGCAACCCCCATGCACGTAGCCAGCGATGCACAGTGCAATCAAGGCATGAAATATAGACTTTGGGCAGCTGCTGGACACACCAAAACAGTCAAAGAGTTGGCTTATATTCTAGACAATCAGGAACCATCATTTCTGGGATCTTTCACTTTTGATGACAAAAGCCTACCCGGAGAATGAAATAATATATTCATGGAATATTCATGGATTTAAAATTGACTCAGGAGTTGACAGTCATCTCAAAAGGACCTTCCAGTCACCTTCAGTGCCACCCAGAGCCGATGTCACCTGACATAGCTCTGAGTGGTTTTGGAAGGATTCTGAACTGCATGAGTAAATTCACCACAGATCAGAGGGGTAGTCTTAATCTGCATAAACAAAGAGAAGTCCTGTGGCACATTATAGACTAACGGATTTATTGGAGCATAAGCTTTCATGGGCAAAGACTCACTTTGTCAGATGCATGTATCTGTTAGTCTATACGGTGCCACAGGACTTCTTATTGTTCACCACAGAAACAACGTTCAAAGACAAAAAGCTATTATTGTTTAACGATAATGTTAAAAGCTGAAGGGAAGTTCCAGAGAGGAAGGCGAGAGGCTGTTCTCAGTAGTGCCGGATGGCAGAACAAGAACAATGGTCTCAAGTTACAGTGTGGGAGGTCTAGGTTGGATATTAGGAAAAACTATTTCACTAGGAGGGTGGTGAAGCACTGGGATGGGTTCCCTAGGGAGGTGGTGGAATCTCCATCTCTAGAGGTTTTTAAGTCTTGGCTTGACAAAGCTCTGGCTGGGATGATTTAGTTGGGGTTGGTCCTGCCTTGGGCAGGGGGCTGGACTCGATGACCTCCTGAGGTCTCTTTAGCCCTAGGATTCTATTATTCTATTTTTTTGATCACTTGACTGCCCTATTTGAAATATAAAATATTGAATAATTATTTTCATTTTAACACTATCCTT